ATAAAAAATAAATTTCATATTCAGTGTTATTAATGATATATACCTTTAAAGAATAAATAAAAATATATATATTTAAATTTAATTATAAATTAGTCTATATAAAATTTTATAATTTAATTAAAAATAGATATTTTTCAGAAAAAATGAATGGAAAAAGATAAAAAAAAATGTTATAAGAATACGATTTAATTCTTTCGCAGAAAATTGAAATAAACAATAGAAAGAAAAATAGAAACTAATATAATCAATACAAAAAAAATAAATTTTAATCAAAACTCTAATAGTAAGTGTTAGAATTGTTGGTTGCTTCTGACTTATAAATTAGAAACATAGATACCAATGAGCAAAGCCAATATTAAGACTTAAGTTTCATGATCTTTTCATTGATGAATCTGTCAGTGTTTATTTTTACCATTCATTTCTGTACTTTATCTTAAAGTGTGACTTTTTACTCTCTTCAGGTCTTAATTTGGGCGGTTAATTTATATTTAAAACCTTAAAAATTGATTAAAGCTACAACCAATTTCAAATTTCAGATTCTCTTCCGTCCTCTTCTCTGCACTCGACTTGAATACTCTTATTAGTTATTACCAATTTCAATTTCAGTCTCTTCTCGTCCTCTTCTCTGCACTCGATTTGAAACAGGTATAGTTCTTCTCTTCTCTACCTCCGATTAATTTCTTAATTTTTAATTTCTTTGAAATGTATACTTTAAAATCCAGTTTATCTTGGGAATAAATTGATTTACCTTGTTATTTTGGGGATGAAGTTTGAATTATTCTTGTTGAAAAGACCATGTGTTGGTTTTCCCAAGTTAATCCTATCTTGTTCTTATGATAGTGCTATAAAGACTTTATAATCAAATAGTAAATTCAGTTTTGGTTCATCAGAAGCTTGAGAGACCATTTTAATGGGATTCAAATTTTCAATTGTGATATGTAGGCAGATTGAATCTTGAACCAATCTTGGTTTTCCAAGTTAATCATATCTTTTTCTTATGATGGTGCTGTAAAGACTTGATAAATTATGGCGTGATTGTGGGAATAATATCTCTAGGCTGAACCAATCCAAGTTATTTTGGTTTTCCAAAGGGGTCCTACAATATACCGTGTCTTAGTGTTGGCAAGTTATCAAATGGATGGTAAGTGTTAGAATTGTTGGCTACTTCAGAATAATAAATGAGAAACATATATAACAATGAGCAAAGCCAATGTTTAGACTTAGGTTTCATGATCTTGTCATTGATGAATCTGTTGGTGTTTATTTTTACCATTCATTTCTGTACTTTATCTTATAACGTGTGACATTTTCCTCTCTTCAAGTGTTAAGCAGAGCAGCTAATTTATATTTAAAACCTTAAAAATTGATTGAAGCTATAACCAATTTCAAATTTCAGCTTCTATTCCATCCTCTTCTCTCCACTCGACTTGAAAACCCTTATTAGTTATTACCAATTTCAATTTCA